TTCTGACTCACAGAAACTATGCTAATTTTTCTTTTAAGTTACTAGCTTTGGAGTAATTTGTTAGCAGCACTCAATAACTAATACATTTATGGCTTGGAACAATGGTTCTCAGTCTTTGGAATTCCTGTCTAATTTTCCCCCTCTGGGATATGTGATGATGTCTGGATACTTTTTTTTGATTGTTCCAACTAGGAGTGCTATTAGCATTTGGTTGGTATAGGCTAGGAATGTTGCCAAATATCCTACAATGAGAAGAATAGCTCCACAATAAAATGTTATTCAGCCCAAAATATCAATAGTGCCAAAGTTAAGAAATCTTGAATCTTAGAATAACTTAAATAACACTAGAATCAAAACTCACTTCAGGTGTCATCTCTTGCTGTATCTTTTTCAATGTTGAATTTCTAATGACCTTTACAGGCTCTTCAATGGTGACTGATGCAGCAAGTCCTAATCAATATGAAAATATGTATTTGCAATCATACACACACACACGCACACACACACAAATCATGCAACCTCTTCTGCAAGCCAAGTAAATTCCAAACTACTGTCCTTTCAGAGATTTTGTTTTAAAAAATGTGAAAAAGTTTATTGTGTACTAATTTTGAATACTTTTTCCATAGATCCTTCTAGAATTTCTAGGGACACAATTGTGTTATCTGTAAGTGATGTGAGTCTTTCCTTGGTCTCTCTGGTCTTTATGATTTTCTTTTCTTGCTTTATTATCCTGGCTAGAGCCCCTAGTGCAATTTGAATAGAAGTAATGGTTGTGGACAGCCTTGTCTTATTCATGATCTCAGGGAGAAAGTTTTAAATATTTCACCCAATGTGATATTTGTTATAGGGTTTTTTGTATAAACTCTCCAAATTGCTAGGAGTTTGGGTTTTGTTCTTTTATAGATATTTTTCATCATGAATGTTTATTCAATTTTATCACTTGATTTTCTGCATCCACAGAAAAGCTCATATGTGAGAAAGAGTAGTCTTTTGAAACAATTCTGGTGAAACTGGATAGTTACATTTGAAACAATGGAGTAGGGGGACCAGCAGTTAGCGTAATGGCAATGTTGCTGGACTCCCACGTAGTTGACCTCGGTTCCAGTCCTGGACCCAGTAGCTTAAACTCATGCCAGGCCCATGTGTGTGAGTGCCCAAGATCCTGAGAGGAGAATAGAGGAGAAGGGATTGCAGCGTGGCCATCCCCCCTGGGGGGGGGGGGGGGGGTGATTTCTCGCTTTCTGTCTCTCTTTCTCTCTCTGTCTTTCTGGCAAGCACTTGCGCCCTACAGCAAAAACCTCTCAAAAAAAAAAAAAAAAGGAAAAAAAATTGAAACAATGGAGTAGGATTGTTATCTAAATTATACACAAAAATTATCTTAAAGTAGGCGGTGGACCTAAATATAAATGCTAAAACTTTAAAACTCATAGAAGAAAATACAAGAATAAACCTTTGTGATCTTTAGTTAGGTAATAATTTCTTGAATACGGCACTAGTAACATAAGGAATAAAAGAGAATATTGATAAATTATACTTTGTCAAGTTAAAATTGCTTGTGGTTCAAAGGATCCATTAAAAAAGTGAAAAGACAACCCATTAGGAGAAAATATTTTTAAATAAATGATAAGGAACTAGAATCCAGTATAGATAAAGAATTCTTACAACTCAATACCATTAGCCATTATGAAATGCAAATAAGAATCATAATGAGAAAACACTTCACACTAAGTAGGATGGCTAAGATTAAAAAGGCAGACTAAGAAAGTGTAAGCCAGAATGTGAAGAAAGTGGAATTTTTATACACTGCTGGTAAAAATGTGAAATGAAGCAGCCACCCTGAAAAACTGTTTGGCAGTTCCTCAAAATTTTAAACATACAATTATCATATGACTCAGCAATCTACTCCTAAGAATCTTACAAAGGTAAGTGAAAGCTTATACCCACACAAGAACTCTCACTTGAAAGCTCAGAGTGGCATTATTCATAACAGAAAAGCTGAAAACACCTAAGTATCTACTGATGAGTAAACAAAACATGGTACATCCATAGAATTGTGCAACAAGAAGAAATGAAGTACAGATTCATTCTGCAAAATGGAGGAACCTTGAAAACATGCTAAGGGAAAGAAGCCAGATACAAAAGGCCACATGTTTTATGATTCAGTTTATATGAAGTGGCCAACAGAGGAAAACTTGTAGAAGCAGAAAGTAGATTCATAGTTTTCCTGGCAAATGAAGACTGGAAAATACTCTATTGGGAGTGTGACTACTAATGACTGCCAATTTTTTTTCCCTAAAATGAAAATGTCCTAAAATTAGATTATGGTGTGTTTGCCGACTCTGTAAACAAACTAAAAGCTATTATATTTTATACTTTAAACAGGTGAGGTTTATGGCCTATAAATTGAATCTCAATAAAATGTTCAGGAATTTAAAATAAATTGGTATTATGTCCATGCCGCAATCCCGTCTCCTCCATTCTCCTCTCGGGATCATGGGCACATACAAACGTGCCCGGTGTGAGTTTAAGCCACCAGGTCCGGGACTCAAACCGTGGTCCATTACATGGGAGTTCGGTGACATAGACATTATGCCAACTGCTGGTCCCCATAAATTGATATTTTTATCATTGGAATACTTTGAGTTTTTTTGTCATTGTTTGTTTTTTTAGATTTTTGTCATAGTGCCTGTGTACTAGTTAGAGGGAGAAAGAGAGACAGAGAGAAAGGAAAAGTGAGAAATCACCCACCCCATTCCACCCCACCCCACCCCAGGGAGATGGCCACACCACAATCCCTTCTGCTCCGTTTTTCCCTTAGGATTTTGGACATGCAAGTACATGCATCCAGTGTGTTTTTCAAGCCACCAGGTCTGGTACTCTAAACTTGGAATTGGCCATGTGGGATCCAGAACCTTAAAAACTGTATCACCTGGTCCTAAAAGTTTTTTTTTTTAATCTCCCTTTAATTAATTAATTAGTTTTTGAGAGAGATTATTTTTGATATAGGGCACATGTGCTTGCCAGAGAGACAGAAAGAGAGAACGTGAGAAATCGCCCCCTAGGGAAGATGACCACACCATAATCCCTTCTCCACTTTCCTTCTAGATTTTGGACTCCAACTGCAGTTAGCCATGTGAAAGTCCAATGTCTTAAGGACTATGCCACCTGCTGGCACCTCTCTTTCTTTTATTTTAAAAAGCAGCTTAGATATGCAATAATTCACATACCATAGAATTCACCTATTTAAGGTGGGCAGTTCAGTAGTTTTCAATACATTCTCAGAGTCTTAGAACCATCACCCAATCAACCTAGCTTTAGAACATTTTCATTACACTCAAAACAAACCAGAACCCACCATTCTCCCTTCCCAATGCTCACTTCCCTGGAACCACTAATTTACTTTCTTTCTATGTAAATTACCTTTCCTGGATATTTCACATAACGAAATCATGAAATATATGAGGTCTTTTGTGACCTTTCTCACTTTGTGTGCTATCATTGTTATTTACTTTAATTGTACATATTTGTAACCTTCATTAGATATTAATTATTAAAACACCGGTTTTTTGTGGCCTTTCTCACTTTGTGTGCTACCATTTTTATTTATTTTAATTGTACATATTTGTAACCTTCACTAGATATTATATAACTGTTTTATATGGTCAAGATTCCTTTGGATATACCCACTTACAGACATAGTTGACAATTTAGTATTGATTTAAATTTATATATGGAAAAGAAACAGTATTAAATTTATATATGGAAAAGAAACAATATCTAGGCTTTCCGTTGAAAACTGTAATTTTTCATTTGCTTAAGTTCTATGTACCCTTAGTACCACTTTAAAGTTTTCCTCTCCAAGTCCAGTCCGTTCTCTATTAAATTCATATATAGATGTTGTGATTTCTTGGTCTTTAACTTTTTGCTCTTTAAGCACTGTCTTCACGTGAAGATGAATGATTTTTTTTCAGTGCTTTTTTATGTGACCTGATAATTTTTCCTGGTCTCATCAATATCTCTATGCAGCTGTCATTATGCATATCTATAGATATTATTTAGTATATGTAGATAAATATATATAAAACAAGGCAAATTCAAGAAAAAAGTTAAAGGGTTAGTTTTCAGATAAATACTTCACAGGGAGCTTAGAGGCTTTATTCTTATATAACGGCTAACGGCTGAGTTTCTTCTTGTTTTGGGGCCTTTAAATTTATATCTTCTCCTACCTGGGGAATATCTTTCTTCACATTTCTTATTCTCCTTTAAATATCTCTCTCTCTCTCTCTCTTTTTTTTTTCCATAGGATGGTTGTGCTCACTGGAGAGAGACAGAAAAAGGGAAAGTGAGAAATCACCATCCAGGGGAGACGGCCACTCCACAGTCTCTCTTCCATTCTCCTTCTGAGATTTTGAACGCCCGCACACGCGCATACACGAACACCAGGTATGATTTTCAAGCTGCCAGGTCTGGGACTGGAATTATGGTTGGCCACATGAGAATTCAGCGCCTTAATCAACACACTACTTGCTGGTCCTTCCAAACCTTAAGTGTCAACTCCTTTCCAAATATTGCTGTGTTTCCTTTCCTTCTGAACACCCACCGGAAACTACCACAGCATTTGTTAACCCCTAGTCTGTCTCAGACACGTATTGTAGATCATTAAATGCTGACCACAATACTAGCGCATGCTATGCCTCAACAACGTCAAAAAGAATGAACTTAGGTTCATTCTCACTAGAATCAACATTCATTGAACTACATGCCAGGCGCAGGTCTGGGTGCATTTATGTATGTTAGTCAGCTCAGAACATTACAGGCTCAGAGCTCCCAGATCCCCTTCAATCCCACAAAAGGCCAACCCACCCGACTCGCGCCCCGCTCTCCTGCAGCTTTGCTATCGCTGACTCCTAGGAGCAGGAGGCTGTCCCAACGCAGCCCGCCGCGCCTGGGCGCATGCGCGGCAGGCTGTGCGCAAGCGCAGTACTCGCTGCGGGCGGGGTCTCTACCTAGAGCTGAGTTGGCGGCGCGGCCCCTGGGGGTGGGACGCTCGGCGCAATGGCTGAGGCTAGCGGGGAAGTGGTCGCAGTGCCGGCGTCCGGAGCTGCCAACGGCCTCACCAATGGCGCAGGCGGGACCTCGGCGCAGTCCAACAACCCGCTGTCACGCAAGTTGCATAAAATCCTGGAGACGCGGCTGGATAACGACAAGGTAGCCCAGGCTGGGCCGGGCCGGGGGCTGCGGGGCCGAACCGCGCCGGGGCCGGCGTCTGTCCCACACCCACGGTCCTCTCCCTCGTACCCAGCGACCCCACACTGGAGGACCGGCGGGACGGGTGAGAAGGAGGAGCCCGGGAGCACCAGGAAACACTAGGGGTTTCCTGGATGTCATTATCCCTATTTAGAAAGGCCCCTGGAAGACCCTGCATCTGGGACGTGAACGGCGGTGTTTGGAAGAGGACTCTACTCCGGACTCCCGGACCCAGGGCACATTCCGGGTCTGAGCAGGGTGAAAAGGCGAGCACAGTACAGGATGAGAAGCCGAAGCAAAGGGCTGATTCCGAAATAGGACAGTGTGAATGGGCTTAGGAGGAACATAACAGTGGTGGGCATGAATGAGTGCATGTCCACGCAACAGGTGAAACAACAGTAATTTGCAGCCGAAACAGTAGGTACAGCCTTGCCCCTTTTATAGTACTTCGGCTCAGCTGAACTCATCAATCTGCTTTGTTGTTAACTAAGCACTGTCTATGATTTGTGGGCTCATGCCGATTGTTTTTTAAAATTATTTCATTTTAATTATTACTTTTTTTTTTTTTTGTCCTGAGAGACCCACAGAAAGAGAGGGAAAGTGAGAAAGCAAGCCGCCAGGTCTGACACTTGAACCGTAGTCAGCAATGTGCTACTCCAGCGCCTTAACCACCTCACCACCTGCTGGCTGTAATGCTGATATTATTTTTTTAACAAGACAGTGTCCACTGCTCACCCATGTCTCTCCTGAAACTTCAACTTTCCTGTATTGTCATAGCTTGCATTCTCCTCTCTGTCACTGAGTCCCTAGTTGAATTGGCCATGCTAGTATAGCAAAAGGAAAAAAATATATATATAAACAGTAAAAATTGTATTGGTGAATATGTAGGTTACTAAAAATAAACTGTCAGTAAGAATTTGATTCCTGTGTGTAAAATAACATTATAACATAACAAGTAAGAAGGAAGGGCTCTGCAGCCACAGCTTGTTAGATATAACCACCACATTTGTGCATTGTGATTTGCGTATGTCTTCTTAATTTTTCTAAATTTCTGTTTAGGAATACATTATTGTTAATGACTTTGTCAGGAGTGTTGTAAGGACTCAGTAAGGAAAACCAGGTGAAGTCCTGAACATAAACTTACTGTTTCTTAATAAGTGTTAATTATATCATGAAGTTTATTGTGTTTAGTATATCTAATATTGATATTTATTATCTCAGTAGATCATTCTAATGTAGATAATATTATCTCCTTTTTACCCATGAGAAAAATAAGGCATGGAGAGAATGCAGCTAGGTTAAGTCATATAATTACTAACTAGTGGAGCTATATTTACACTCAAGTCTGTGTGATTTTGTTCATTTAGTGTTTACTGACTACTCTTTTGAATCAGGTCTTAGGATGCTGTAAGGTTGTAGTCAGAAGAAACTGCTTCATTTTATTTATTTGTTTATTTTTTGTTTAAGTTGTTTGTATTTGTAAACATAGTTTTGCCTTTTTTTTTTTTTTGCCAGAGGGCACCTGTGCTCACGAGAGAAGAGAGAGAGAGAGAGAGAGAGAGAGAGAGAGAGAAAGAAAAGGAAGGGAAGCAAGAAAGCATCCCCTATAGGGAGCATGGTCGCCACAATCCCTTCTCTATTTCCCTGTCCTTTTGGGATTTTGGGCATGCACACACACACTTGTCTGGCATGTTTCTCGGGGTACTAGATTTGGGACTCAAACTTTGTAGTTGGCCATTGGATCCAGCTGTCTTAACCAGCAAGCCATGGACTGTCCCTTTTTTCTCTCTTAAATCATAAATTAAATTTAAATAGTTTTCATATTTTTGACAATCCAGGCAATATGTATATATGCACACTGAGGTTTTGACCATGGGTTGTGTGTACTCACCACAGAGAGGAGACAGAGAAAGGGAAAGTGAGAAATCAGCCCCTAGGAGGATGATCATGTTGCAATTCCTTCTCCATTATTCTCCTCTTGGGATTTTGGGCACGTATACACATGTGCCTGGAGTGGTTTTCAAGCCACTGGGACTGGGACTCACCTGGCAGTCAGCAGTGTGGGAATCCATCAGGCTTAACCACCATTGCCACCTGCTGGTCTCTGAAATATTATTTTAACAGAGTCATGGACAGACAAACCTGTTAAAATATGCATTAGTTCAAGTGGAGGAATTTGCATCTGTAGAATTTAGGGTACTAGTGGGTTGTCCCAGGCTTGTTCTCTGCTCTTTCCCCTATCCATAGTCTTTCTGTAGGAGAACTCTTAGTTTTATGGTTTTAAGTGGCCAAAAAAAGTAATGACTCCCTAGCTAATGACCTTAAAATATATAAATCTGTTCCTTCCATCTCTGCAAACCTCCAGATTTGTAGAATCAGTTGTCTGTATTATATCTCTAGTTAAATACATGGTTAATGTTATGGCCATGTATTTAACTAGAGATATAATATAGACAACTATATAATATAGATATTATATGGACATAATATATAATAAAGATGACATATTATCTTTATTAAAATATAAGATAATGTAAAAATAATATATAATAAAGATATAATATAGACAACATAACATGGGCCAAACTACATCTTTGAACTGACTATTGCTTTGAACGAGGCCTTAGGACATTGGATTTTTCCTCACTCTCATTCTACCTTCACTGTGAGTGAAGGCCATTGTAATTTACCTGTTCGAGCAAGAATTGTATAAGTAATTTTTGGTTCCTGTCATTTTTATCACATTCCACATCCAGCCTATTAAATTCAATAGGTTCTACTTTGACAAAAATGTTTTGGAATGTCTCTTTTTCTTCATTTCTACCATTTGTCTAAGATAGTATCAAATCTTACTTGTATTATTTTAGCTTCCCTACCTGCTTCCTTCCTTTTTATTATTATTATTATTATTATTATTATTATTTTTTTGGAGAGGTTTTTGCTATAGGGTGTGTGTGCTCACCAGACAGAGAGAGATAGAGAGATAGAAAGTGAGAAGTCACCCCCCAGGGGGGATGGCCACGCTGCAATCCCTTCTCCTCCAGTCTCCTCTCGGGATCTTGGGCACGCATGCACACGCGCCCGGTGTGAATTTAAGCCACCGGGTCTGGGACTCGAACCGTGGTCGACTATGTGGGAGTCCAGCGACATTGCCATTACACTAACTGCTGGCCCCAATTATTATTATTATTATTTTTTTTTTTGAGAGCGATTATAGAGCACATGCACTTGCTGGAGAGACTGAGACAGAAAGTGAGAAATGTATGACTCAGGAAGGATGACCCCGCTGCTATCAGTTTTCTTCCATTCTCCTTTTGGGATCTGGGCACACACACATGTGTGCTCGGCATGATTTTTAAGCAGCTGGGTCCAGGACTCAAACCATCATCAACCACATGGCATTCTAGCGACTTAACCATTATGCCATCTGCCGGTCCCTCCCTACCAGCTTTCTTTCTTTCCCCCCCTATGTCATCCATTTTTAGAAGGAATAAAAATTTAAACATATGAAGCACATCATATTCTTTCCTGTTTTAAATGTTTTAAGAGATTTTTTGCTATTGGATGCATGCTTTTGCCAGAGAGACAGAAAGGGAGAAACCCCCCGCCCTCCGACCAGGGCATGGTCATACCAGAATCTTTTCTCCTTTATTCTCCTCTTGGGATTTTGGGCATGCACACGCACAGGTACCTGGCATGAGTTTCAAACCTCTCGGTCTGGGATTCAAACTGTGAGCTACTACATGGGAGTCCAGTGACGTAACCATTATGCCATCTATTAGTCCGTTTTCTGCTTTTAAAGCCTCTAGTGGGGGGCAGCAACTGGTATGGTGGTTAAGGCACTAGATTCCCCATGGCTGACCACAGTTCAAGTTCTGGACCTGGCAGCTTGAAAATCACACCAGTTGTGTGTGTGTGCATGCCCAAAATTCCAGGAGAAGAATGGAAGAGGAGAGATTGCACCATGGCCATTCTCCTTGGAAGATTTATCACTTTCCCTATCCTTGTTTCTCTCTGGCCAGTGCATGCACCTGTTGTCAAAAACCTAAAACAAACAAACAAAAATCCCTTCTAATAGTTTCCCATAGCTTTAGTCACACTGGCCTTCTTTTTACTGCTTTAAGGTTTTATTTTGTTTTATTTATTTATTTCATAAAAGAGAGAAAGGTAGGTACCCTCAACAGGGTCTCATGTCACAATCACTTAGCATGTATAGGTCAACCGAAGAACTGAATCCTGATTTTCATATGGCTTTCGCACTGTGCCCCTGCAGCTGAGCTTGCTCTGGGGTCTCTGTACTCCTTTTCTTGCATCTGTGGGAAGTTTTGCTCCCATGTCTAGCTCTTTCCTACTACTTACACTTTAGTTCGGTCTCTTCAGGGAAGTGGTATTCTCTAAGCTCCTCTAAGTTTTGCTTCCAGTTGTACTTATTTTTTTATATAGATCTGTCTAGATAGAGTTTATATACTTACAAGTAAATGTGCATCTATGTATTTCTTTTCATTTTTAAATATCTGTATTATAACTGTTTCTATGACCTGGCTGTTTCAATTTTAAAGTTCTCAAAGTGCACACTATGTAAGTATTTTAAAGAATTTCTTCCTTTTTAAAATGAAGAAAATATTTTATTTAGTCAAACCCTCTTAGATGAACATTATGTTATTTCCAATCTTTGCAGTTCTAACAATTCTTTAGTAAATGGCCTTCTGTGTATACCTACATGCATGCCCACATGCACACACAGAAACACATGTATGTTTACACAAACACACATACACTATTAGATATATAAGTAATTTTACCCTTACTGTGTTCTGGAAATAAGTTTACTGTTCAGTAATTTGAAGGTCATCTATTATTTTTTGGATTGTTTACTGGAAACAAATGATTTGAAAATGATTTTTAATTACATTTTGTTTGAGATAGGAAAGCATTTCAAATTAGTCCCATTAATGTTCTTCTGTTACCAATTGTGTAGGAGATGTTGGAGGCTCTCAAGGCACTTTCAACCTTTTTTGTTGAAAATAGTTTGCGGACCCGGAGAAATTTACGTGGAGATATTGAACGTAGAAGTTTAGCTATCAATGAAGAATTTGTAAGCATATTCAAGGAAGTCAAGGAGGTATGTAAACTTTTCCATTTAGCATTTATGGAGAACTTACTATAAGTTAGTCTGAATCTGTGCTAAGAAGTTTTTTGAATTAGATTTGTATGTTGCTATTTATTTACCGTGTTCAAATAGAGAACTGCGTATTCCTACTGCAGCTAAGTCTTCATTTGCATTAATGTGATTTCTGAATCTGTGACCTCCATTAATGCATGTTCTTAGAAAGTTGCAATATTTATTCTAGGATATTAAGAATTTTTGCTTTTTCAACAAAAATAATAGCATTTCTCCAAATGGTTTTCTAATAGAACATTACTATTAAATGTTTAGATATGAAAATGGTATTAGGTTTATTTTTATAATCATCTTAGAAGTATATACCATATATTTATGGATGATGATGATATCTGGAATTGCTTCACAATAGTGCAGTTTGTAGGAGAGAGAGACCAAAACTTAGTTTACTTGTGTTGTTGTAACAGAATACCTGAGACTCGATTTATAAATAAGAGATTTATTTGGCTCCTGATTCTGTGGGCTGGAGAGTCCAATAGCATGGCACTGGCGTGTGTTTAGTTCTGGTCAGGGTCCATATGGTGTTTCACTCTGTAGCAGAAAGGGTAGTGGGTATGTGCAAATGAGAGATGTGCCCATGGCTGGCCAGCTTTAAGATAATCCACACTGGCGGGGAACTAATTAATTAGAACATGTTCCCTCCTACAGATGGCCTTAATCTAGTCATGAGAGATCTGCCCTCATGTCCTAAGCACCTTTAACTAGGTTCCATTTAGCACTGTTGTGTTGGGTGTCAGATTGCATCATAAGTTTACATGGGGATACGCAAACTAAAATAGGGACAAAGAAGGTACTATAGAGAGATAGTTGAAACAAGCATGGCCATGAGTTGGTAATTGTTGAAGCCAGGTGATGAATACGTAGGCATTTGTGTCTCAGCTTTTCAATATTTTTGAAAAATTTTCATAATAAAAGAGTTCTTAATTTTTTTTATGCCAGGCATATTTTACAAGCTATGTCTTTGCTTACCTGGGGGGAAAAATATAGTTCACTGTAAATTCAAATAAAGACTTTGGAAGCAATGTAAGGGCTCTTGAATTACATTTTAGTAAACCTTTGCATTTAGAGGATATATTAATAGGAGGTGATTTCTATTATTTTCACAGCTCAAATCCATTTAATGTGCCATTATAGTGAACGTAAATATTAAGAGTACTTATTCTTGATCTAGTTCACTGATGATGTCATAGTACATCTTATTATTGGGTTGTTGGGAAAGTCGTGATGCATTTTTGCATAGAAAAACACAGAAAAATACATCATGACTTTCCCAATAACCTAATAGATTGTACAATGAGATTTAAAGAAATGCTAAGATTAGTTTGCTTAGATATCTGCTGTTGCTGATATTAATGAATATTTTGAAATCTTGCATTTTACGGTTCACCTCAAAGCAGCTTAGGACTTGGTTTAATTTGACTCATGTTCTATTTATGATAAAAACATGAAGATAACGTGTCTGATGCTAGGATTCTTATAGTTCAGAGTTCTTTATAGAGGAAAAACCTTAATTCTAGATCTAAGGAGAGAAAAATCTCAATTCTAGATCTAAGATTTGTGCTCCTATTCTTGTAAGTGATTTCCTAACTGTAGTTTGTCCTCACATTGTGTTTATAGTTTTGCTTGACTGCTTTCGTACTCTTGCCCTGATTGGCCATACCTTCACAAAACTGCCGTGTTATTTGTCAGGGATTGTCTCTCACCAAAACTGTCCTTCCTTGCATATTTTTCTGTTGTGTGGCACTGAATTGAATTGGGTAAAAGAAGATAGTAGTTTATGATGAAGCTAAATGTCATATGATTAGATGGGGAGTCTTCAAAAAGTCATGGAAAGTATGTATTATGAAAAATTTATGCATGGATTTCAAAAATGTCTTACACCAAAATAAACTTGTACTTTTACCCTGTTTTCATCCATGAACATTTTGAAATATCCTCATAATTTTATATAACATTTAATAATATTGGTTTAGTAACGAGTAAAGATGGTTTAGAGGGGCTGATTTTAGCATCTGAGAGACCTGTTGGAAGATTTTTTTTTTTTTTTTTGGGGGAAAGTTTTTTGCTATAGGGTGCGAGTGCTCGCCAGGAAGACAGAGACAGAGAGATAGAAAGCGAGAAATCACCCCCTTGGGGGGATGGCCACACCGCAATCCCTTCTCCATTCTCCTCTTGGGATCTTGGGCACACACGCCTGGTGTGAGTTTAAGCCACTGGATCCGGGACTCGAACCATGGTCGACTACATGGGAGTTCAGTGACATAGCCGTTATGCTAACTACTGGTCCCATGGAAGATGTTTTTATCAGTCCTTCAAGAGATAACAATTGATCTGAACTAAAATAGTGACTGTTTCAGTAGTAAAAAAGAAGTAGGTAAGACATATTCGTTAAGAGCATTAATTAATGCTAGTATTAAAAGACCAGTTAAATTCATGCACATGTGGAGGGAGCTGGAGGAAGAAATGCTACAGAGAAAATTATCTGATTTTTCACATGATTTAAAATGCGATTACTTTTTCTTTTAAAAGAGATATTTTTGTAGGACCTGTGCATTCACCGAGAAACAGAGAGAGCCAGAAACAGAAAGTGAGAAATCACCTCCCAGAGGGGATGGCCACACTGCAATCTCTTCTCCTCCAGTCTCCTCTCAGGATTTTAGGCAGACTTACACATGCACTCGGTGTAAGTTGTTTTTTATTGCGTTTTTTGTTTGTTTGTTTGTTTTGTTTTGTTTTTAGAGATTTTTGCTATAGGACGTGTGTGCTCACCAGAGACATTGAGACAGAGAGACAGAACGCAAGAAATCACCCCCAGGATGGGTGGCCATGTTGCAATCCCTTCTCCTCCATTCTGTTCTCAGGATTTTGGGAATGCATTCACACATACCCAGCATGAGTTGCCGGGTCTAGGATTTGAACCATGGTTAACTATGTGGGAGTCCAGCAACATAACCATTATTCCATCTGCTGGTTCTCTGACATGAGTTTCAAGCCAACCCGTCCAGGACTTGAACTGCAATCAACCACATGGGAATTCAGCGGCATAACCATTAAGCCATCTGCTGATCACAATATGTGATTACTTTTAACAAGATAGGAGGAGACACTGTTTATTTATTTTTCAAATTTGCTTTTTTTATTAATTAAAATTTAGAAAATAATATAGAAAAGTTAGATAATAAGGTGAGAAGTAGAAATAATTATGTATGATCTCATCATTCAAAATAGCTTTGTCAGTATTGTGTGTTCTTGCTTGTGTTCTTCTATATATTAATATGTATTTTTTCTAAAAAATGAGAATATATGTATTATAACTCTTTTACTTTATGTAGACACCTTTTCATAAACATGTATATACATTGTCATTGTTAATATATGCATAGATTTCCATTATGTAATTGCATTTCTTTTATGTGTTCATTAGTTTTAGGCAACTGTGGGTTAATCATTCCTATATGTATATTATTCACACTTGATCCAATTAATTCTATAGGATAAATTCTTAATATTACCATAGTGAGTAAAGAGGTATTTGTATTTTTAAAACATTTGCCATTTTCTTATTGTAATATTGTAATACCCCAAAAGGAGTGGACTAAGTTCTTTACACCTTTCTAACACTAGATATTATTCTTTTTATTCATTTTCAATTTTAAATTTGGGATCTCTTGTCAGAACTTGACAAACAAAACTCATTAAATTAAAAGAAAAGATTTGGCTAAAAGAAGAGAAATTCTCTATAGCATATATAATGTTGGATGTTACTTTTTTCAGGAACTCGAAAGCATAAATGAAGATGTTCAAGCAATGAGCAACTGTTGTCAAGATATGACAAGTCGCCTTCAGGTACTACATAATGGTCAGGTTTTCCCGTACAAAGAATTCGAACATTGTTAGATAGGTCTACAAAGAATACGGATATCTAATGTATTACACCCTGCCAGAATTATGATTAAATTAAAATTTAATTTTTTTACTCAGAATGAAAAAATTATGCATACCTTTGTATTTCTTTGTCTGATAGCTTTTTTTTAAAAAAATATTTTTGCTCTAAGGTGTGTGTGCTTGTCCGAGAGAGAGACAGAGAGACAGAGAGAGATGGTGAGAAGGATCCTCCCAGAGGATGGCCGTACAGCAGTCCTTTTGCCTCCATTCTCCTCTTGGGTTTATGGGCATGCATGCACACAAGCCTGGCATGGTTTTCAAGCCACCAGGACTGGGATTCAAACTATAGTGGGGCATGTGGGAGTCTAGTACCTTAACTACTGTGTCACCTGCTGGCCCTGGCTGATGACTTACTAATATTGCTTGGTTGACTCCTGAAACCTTTATGTTTTAGTATAGTCAGTAAAGAGTTGTGTAAAATTTTGAGAAATCTTCCAATTTAGTAGAAAACTTTAGGAATAAGTTCAAACTAAAGCTGTGCCTTATAAAGATTGGCCTTCATTTTGATTTATATTTAGCCTAAGAAAATTATCCTAAAAAACATATATAATTTTAGGTCTGTATATTGAAGTAGTTCTAAACCTCTGGTTTGACTGCAGAATCAGCATTTAATCCAGTTACCCTCATTCATGTAGATTTTTTTAGAAGAGGCATAGAATAGGTTCCTCCTAAGGATCAGTCAAGATTATGTCTGCTACCTTCACATGTTTAATTCCAACTTTAGATCTATAAGATTCTTTTGGAACCGTTGGCAGCAACAGTGATTCTAAGAAGAATCACTAATCTGTATATTCCGAAGATTAACCAGAGTATATTCTATCGGACTGGTCAATTTCCTGTTCTTTTAATATTTTACCATTCCTAGCCTTCTTTAAAATATATCCGATATCATTGACATATATGTAGTCTATTAGTCTAATCTTTAGATCATTGTGAATTTTATAATATTTAAAGAATTTTATAATATTTGCTAACTATTATTGCCATTTCATATTTTTTTTACACATACTAATTTTATTGGTTCACTTGGTTTTGTTTGACCATTTTTTTTTTTCCTTATCTCATCTTTTACTTTCCGTGAGTTACTGCAGTTTTTTCAAATTATACTCTTTAAGGTTTTATTACACTCCTGTGTTTATTTTACAATATGAATGTATTTTTTGTTATATTAGATCACTTTGTTTCCTGTCTTTAGGCAATATTGCTTCTTTTCTCATTCTTACCCTTGATTATATTATATTGTGTTCTCACAGCTTTTTTTAAGTGTACAAAGTTCAAAGTGTATTTATCCTATTTATACTATTTTTAAAATAGTTTGTAAATATTTTAAATCACAACCAAAGTGGTTTCTTCTGTTTTGTCCTTTTTATTTTCTTTGTGCCACCCCCATTCTGTTTTTTGCTCTACAGTGAAGTAAGCCTATTTTTCCTTCCTTTTTTATACTAACTTCATTGAAGATTAGTTTATGT